GCATGGGCTGGCAGCACCCAGGAGGCATATGGAAGCGGCATCCTCGCCTACCATGTTTATTGTGACTCGCACTCCATCAATGAAGCCATGCGTGCACCCGCGTCTTCTGAACTCATTTCAGCTTTCATTTCAGACTTAGCCGGATCATATTCAGGGAAAACTATATCAAGTTATGTCCACGGTATTCGCGCATGGCATATTTTGCACGGAAAATCATGGTCCTTAGATGATGACAAAATAGATGCTATGCTGAAAGCGGCCAAGAACCTCACGCCCTCGTCATCAAGAAGGAAGAAAAGACCACCATACACCGTGGCTTTTATAACTAGCATCTTGCAGAAACTAGACCCCAACAACCCTCTCGATGCTGCAGTGGGTAGCTGTCTCACAACAGCCTTTTATTCAATGGCCAGAGCTGGAGAATTCACGATCCGAACTCTTTCATCATTTGATCCCTCCATTCACGTCAAACGCTCCGACATTCGTCACGAAACAGATCGCAATGGGCTCGCGACTACCGTTTTTCATTTACCCCGCACGAAAACATCACAAAACGGGGAGGACGTTTTCTGGGCGAAACAAGAGGGTCCCACTGATCCTGAGGCCGCATTATCCAACCATCTCAACATCAACAACCCCCACTTCGACATCGCACTCTTTTCCTATAAGTTCGGCGAGGCACACCGTCCTTTGACGAAAACAAAGTTCATTGCAAGGCTTGCTCGCGCTGCAAAGGATGCTGGCCTCGACCCATTGCAAGGCCACGCTATCAGAATAGGTGCTACCTTGGAATACCTCCTCCGAAACATCCCATTCGAGGTCGTCAAGACAATGGGAAGGTGGGCCAGTGATGCCTTCCAGATCTATCTTCGAGATCACGCTCAGATTCTCGCACCATACCTTCAAGCAACACCCGCCATTCAAGATGAATTCCTGCGGCACACAATGCCCCGCGTTCGGTAACGGCTTCTTCATGTAAGCATCCATTCTCCTCCTAGTCTTATGGGTATCTTCGGTTCGCTCGATGCGTCGTCGAACTCCTAGACAGTTGGGAACCGCAGCTCACCTTTTATCTGGCAGGACACGCAACTCGGGACCGGGAGGCGCTGCGCGCCTTCGCCCAAATCGCTCAGAATAGGATATATCGAGGATCGTGGACATCGAATGTTCATAGCACGGTAGTAGAGGCAATATTAATTGAATTCTCCAAGCAGAACTGCTCCAAGTGACTCGCAAAGACCGACGTTTTCGATTGACATGTTTCAAAACCGTGCGTAACTTGACCAATTTGTAGAACATGTGGAGTTGATGTAGGAAAACTGTTGGATATCGGACAGAGAAGAGTACATACGTCCGTTGGCATCAACCATAGTCACTCCTAGGGCAAGCAAAGGATCACTCGAATAAAATGCCCGATAGAAAGTGGGAAACGGAACACGTGAAAGATTTGAAGGTAGTTTGCACTGTGCAGGCAAATCCGTCCAACACCGTAAACCACTGCGACGGGTATGCGCAGTGTACGTGCGGGTCTCCATAATCCACACCATCGTACTCGCCACACCCGTCAGCGATAAACCGCTGGTTTACCCGTACCCGTGCGTGCTCTACCCTACACGTTGAAGTAACGTTTTGAGGCAATGTTAAAGGACAACGTGGGCAGGAAAACAACTTGTGGATGCTGGCGAGCAGACGAATACAGGCAGGATGATCATGAAAATGAGGTTCCCTTGTGTCCATCTCCATCACATGCGGATTTCGGCAGTAGTAAAAGTGCCGAACGGGGTATATCTGGTATGAACGCTATCGTTATACACCACCAACACTCCCCATTCGCCCATACTCATCCTCAAATATGACCGTGGTCTTAAATGGTCCCAGTTGGTGGCCGATAATCAATTTCAATATTGTTTTCAGCTATTGGACAGGTTTGTCGGATCAAGATCTCTAGGTCTAACATTGACTTGCGCTTTCGCAGTTGCCACCAGCATCGTGGTGGTATACGATTGGGGTGAGCAGGACAGCGTTCGAAAATTGCTGAAATTCTCATAATATTTTCAGTGCTAACGATTGGACAAGAGGCAGGTAGATATTATTGCCAGAGCAGCCAACTCGCTAACAATGGTGTCATAGATTGAACTCATCTGGGTAAGTGACGAGAGTCCCGTATCAGCAGAAAAGAAGAGAATACGACGATTTCGCAACAGAGGCAACGATGGTCTTCCATGACTGTGCTTTATTTGCTTGTTCGTACCTCATTGTGCTATGGCGTGGCTGGCAAGTCGTGCTGACTCCAACATGTCCTAGATACGTTATATTGGAATATCATATTCTGTGTATGTGTCGAGGCCAACAACTTGGCACCGTGCTAATGCTCATACCTGACAATTAGTCTCAATGTTCTACGTATGTCTCACATGCTCTGTGTTCGATTCTTCTGACCATTGGCATACAGAAAATATGCCATTGGTCTCGCTGACAGATGCAGTGAGTAATATGCAACCATCTCATTCCTATCCAATGTATGCGCTCATACGTAGGGGTGAGTGAGATTCTGAACACTGAACCTAGCTCAACATAATGACTGCACAGGTGTGAGTCGGTCTTTGATACTAGTAATACTCGAGGCTGATCACTGATTGGGTGTTTCAGGCAATATTATAATCTACGTAGTGGATGGGACAAATGTGGTTGTAACTGCCATGTTAGGCGGTGAGTTACCCAGCTCAATATCTCTGATGTTGACTCGACTGAAACATGATGTAAGTCATCATGATTGCCCGGTTACATGCTATGTATCAGGGATCCAGAATGATGCTTCGCTTCCTTGTTATCATGTTCCTGGCTGTAAGCATCGCCTGCGGGGTAATGGCGGCAATAGGACTCAAGGATGATGTAGCGGGTGAGCTTACTTGTCGACGTGAAGAACATAGCTAATTGGACGAATGCCAGAGGAGCTGATACTCTCTGGCACATATATGTATAATGATGTATCTGATGGGGATGCTCAGCTTCTGTTTCCAATGGTTTGGATGCTCAACACTGTTTGGGAGGTCCTTGCACTGTGTCTTTCAGCCTGGGTTGCTGTAAAACACTTCCGTGACCTACGAAGATTCGGCCAATCGACAGGAACAACCATCGGGGACTGTTTCAGAGTGCTGATACAATCTCATGTGCTTTATTTCGCAAGGTGAGTTTATCATGTGATTGTGGTCATAGTTTTCTGCTCAAGTCCCGCGCGACTAGCTTTGTTTGTGTCTCTTGCCTTCAACTTGCTTTTATATCTCCAGAGCTCTATGTGCGCTGACCTGTCACTGACATATGCGTGTAAACATTGCTCACCGTTTCTGCAGACTTCATATTCTGCTGGAGCCCTGACACTCCTAGGCGGTCTTCAAATTTTATTGGGCGTGCAGATGTTTGTGCTAGGACCACGCCTGATCCTTAGCGTTCGAGAATATCACGCCAAACTCGTGGCCAACTCTGATGCAGAAACTAGCATGAATTCGATTGTCTTCCAGGAGCATGTACATGTGACAACTAGTAGTACTGTGTAGGGACATGCATGACCGGTGGTCCGTAGGGATGAGAAATTTGGTCGAGGATCCGTCTTAGTATTTATTTAACATATAATGTTTCCAAGCATATTTAAAATCGAGGTTTACGTATACCAATCCATTTCTTGATGTATCCTTACCGGAACCCAGTGAACAGTCCACCCACAGTTACACCAAATGGCAAGCCAAAATTGTCCAGAACGTCTAGCAGCCAACCCAGTCCTCGATGCCCAATACTGAAATAAACGAGAATTAGTATAAATTAACGAAACAACTGACTCTACGCGTTTGTGGACTTCCTGTCTAACTTGAAGCACACAGATGATGAAGAAGTGACTGTGAACTGAAGGCCAGATAGCTGGTAGTTGATTAGCCTGAGATGCATTCTCGTCCATCCGGGCAACGGAGAAGGAAAGATGAAGAAATCGTGCGAAGTCATGGCTGACCATCAGAGTAAAGTAACGAACGAGATACGGACATGCACACATCTGCGATACACCCGTTGATATCGATCACAGTCGCTCCAGGGCAAGCAAATGATCACTTGAATGAAGTGTCCGGTAGAAGGTGGAAACGGACCCGGAAAACGTGAAGACTCGAGGGTATTTTGCAGGCACATTGAAAGGTAGCGTGGGCTATTGCAATGACGAAAGAAAACAACTTGTGGGTGTCGGTGAGGACACGAATCTAGGCAGGATGATCACGAGGAGAATAAAGTTCCGGGGAGTGTCTAGATGGAGACGCGAGGTGTATCGATGATGGGTGTTCGATTATGAACAAAGTACTTCCAACACTGCACTCACGATGGATGATAGCCTAGAATAGATGCCAGTTAGATTTCGCAATAAAACTGTCTGAGACCCGGAGCACGAAGCTGGACATTTACAGTCAGCTCCACTCGAACTGCTCTACTTGCCTGGCCATCTACGTACAGATGATCACGAGGATCCTACACACACTCCCTCTGATCTATCCTTTCCTCCCCGACACCTATCATCCCTCCGAGTCACCTCACGTCTCCTCCACATTCCCTTGCCGTGTATCTTATCCACAACCGCTATTTAGAAAAGCAATGACATGGCCCACAGTTCCCGAGTAATAGTATGTTTGTACGCAGGACATGCTCGTGACGATGTGAAGAAACTGGTAGGCAATATTGTCGACTGGGTACAAGGATGGGTCGCAAGAGAAAGAGAAGTAAAAAGACAGTGGCTGATTGTAGCGGAGGGTGAAGCTGTAGGAGTATGGACGGAGTTGAAGTTGTGAGATATCGTGTTTGGAAGCATAAGTCGATGTTAAATGTAGCTATACACACCATGTCAAAATTCCTGTCATGTTCCTCCGTTTCTTCGCTTGTTATTCCTGCATTACTCCTACGCAATTCCTAGTATGCGTGCTCTCTCGAGCCAGGACCGCACGAGTGACTGCAAACATCTTATGCTAACCCTGACGCTAGCTCAGTTTCGTGCAGGAAAGGGGAACGATCTCAGGATGTAGCCTCAAAGCGCACCACCGAAAGGAAGAGAGTGAAGAGCTCCTCGGGGTCACAAGGGTTACGATACCATCGAACTGATTCAGTCATGCAAAGCCTCGATCTCCCGAGTGCTTCGCGCGAGATAGTCATCGTATGAGTCATGTGCTGCATTTCAAGAAACACGGAAATTGAGCAATCCGCCCACACCTGCATCCACCATGCTTACCAGCATTTTTGAGTTTAGCGCGAAACCGCGCAATAACTTCTCGGTTGTATGTGATTGCTGAGAGTTGCGTGTGTTTGACGGTGCCTACACGGCGTTTGCAGCACTTTGGTTTAGAGGATGGCAGAGACACACGAAGATGCAAGCCTACCTGAGACATGAATAACACGCGGAATGATCCTGACATCGTAGATGCTAGTGAGAAGCGTGACTGCACCCCATGCAATTCGATGTTGATCTCGTGCGACACGAATAATACAAAGGTTCGTGAGCGGTGAAAAATACTTGACTGCAGCCATTTATGTAAGATAATATAAATAGTCGAAGGATTATACGCACCATTCAACGACATCCCTACTGCTCCCCATCCGGTGTCGCCAAAGTTTGTCACGATGCTGTCGCGGAGAGCGTTGTAGATCAACCTCCCGTCCAGAGTTCGTGTGCTTAGAGACTCTTTTTCAGTGGAGGTATCTACCGTAGACGTATCGACGAATTCGACGAGGAGCCAGCGATTCTTGTTTGATTGTATGGGTAAGCATGCTATACACGGTTGAAAACCAGTTTGTTTTCTACCTTGAACCGAACCATGTCTTGCGATGAGGTGCAAACGTTCCACAATCAATACTCAATGAAGGTAGGCCTTGAAGGAGATGGAGAATGACAAATTGGAAGCTCCAGAATGTTATATCATATCACAAGACTGCAGCAAGGTTGTATTATTATTGCGCAATACTTGTCTAAATTAGGGAAACGCCAATTCGCTGAAGTTGACGGTTGTTTGGGTTGAACGTATTGCAAAGGTCGGCCTATCGAGTCTCAGATTCCAATCCAATACCACTAGCTGATACCTTAATACAGGAAATTCGTGGTCTCTGCGATTCGCTCGACAACTCTCTTGCTACGGGTGTGTGGAGCATCACACGTGGAGGAAAAATTCATGCCCATTGCTGCGTGACGTCACGAATCGCAACAAAAGATTCAAGTCATTATGATTGCTCGGTTGCATGCAATGTATCAGAGATCTAGAACGATGCTGATCTTTCTTGTTGCTGTCTTCTTGGCTATTATCCGCCGAACGAGATACAGACACCCACACCTGCGTGCATACACCCGTTGGCATCGATAACAGCTTCTCTTAGCAAGCGAGTGATCGCTTGAAAGCCTCTGCGTCACTTCAGGCGATAATCTGCTGTCTCAGGTATACGTTTAAGCCCAGACAGCTGATAGACTAGAAACTACACCTAGACGCGGAATACTTGATCATCCAAGCGAACACAAAGAAAGGAGATAAAGTGACTGTGACTCAAAAAAAAAATGTGGCTGATAGTACGTCGCACCTCTGAAAGGGTGTTTGGCTGTGAGAGAATCTACCAGGTCATCGTCAATATGGCTGATTAGAAATCAAATAGAGTTGAAGTGCACTGGCAGAGTGCGGTGTATCAGTATGTCACGGGCTCTGCGTCGTGTGGGAACATAAACGTACCATGGAACCGCTCTCCTGGGATCGGATGATATGTCCTGCTTTTCAAACTCTTCATCTAGACACACGCCGTAAGCACAAAACGCCTCGCGTCAAACGGCTAATGGCAACGTTTGTCTGTTGTGATCCAAGGGGTCAGTGGGAATAGTGCACCGAGGTCGACTGCTGTACCGTTGATCATGTGTGGCGAGCTGCCCCCACTGAATATGCGAGATGCGTCAGACATTATCGCGCGAGAGCAGTTGAGCGTTTTTGTATTGATGAGAACATAGTGTGTGGCATTGAACCATACACGATATTGACACCAGCACAAGAGCACAGGTTGACTGTCACTAGTAGTTTACAGCGTCGGGTAGATCGAATAAAAAAAAACAGCCGTTCCTTCTATTATAATATACCGTTAGTATTGAAAATCACGAGTTAAGAGATAACACCTACACGAACGCTACCTCCCATGCTGCTGACGGTTGACGCACACTGTTGCGAGCATGGAATCTCTGTGGACGTTGATGACTATGCTGAACCTTGTTAGTAATGATATAGAATTTCAGACAACACACTTACATCAAAGCTGCCTTCCATGCTACTGATAGTTGACGTGCCCTTTTTTTTGACGTTGTGGTGTGGGTTGAGAATGTCGATAACAGGGATATGCCTCAAGCGAAGGCAAAGGCATTCGCTCACGGTCGAATTCGTGTCCGTCGATTCTGCGATACGGTTAGTTTTACACGCGCCACGTCGTACCTAAAACTTTTGCCAAACGACCTCATTTCGAATTATCGCGCATGGAACCAAGGCGGCCTTCGGGCATTTTTTTTCGTGATAACAAAAATCAAAATCAATGTTGATAAGCTCAGAAAACTCATGTGGGAGTATGAATAGTTGATTTTGTCGCCACCTTGATGTCACCTTGCGATCAGTAACAATGAGCGGGAGGGTATGGACTTGTGACCCGGCAGGGCTTAGCCTAGTAGAGCCCAAGACATCTACTTGCGTTTGAATGGGCTATTGTAAGCGGCTCGATTGAGAAGGCAATAAGTGGTCCACCCTAAAGTGCATATCATCAAGAACAATGAAGGTCACGTTGCTTCCACAGTTTGAAAAAGAAAAAGCCACGAGGGTTCGGGTATTTTAAACGAGTCGCCGATGGACTAAATTTTCATAAGCTCCCATCTTGCTCAAAATGTCGTCTACATTCTTGGTGAGTACTATCGTAAAATACAGCGAACTGTGACTTAACGAGTCCCATAGTTATTCTCGGAATTAGAAAACGATCCAACTAAACCTTATGATGTCCAAGTTGTCCAGTTCTGGCGAGGCGAGGAAGAGCCACGACGGCCCTATCCACTTCACTGGGCAATCTACGTCGAAACAAGTCCTAGCATTGGGAACACGTATCAAATCGCAGGAGACTCCACAAACTACGCCATCGATATCCGACTCAACCAGCCTCTGGAAAATTTGGAGGACTTGCGTGGAAGCTGTATAGTTGGAAAGGTAAACAGGAAGGAGCTCGACGCCATGGAAACACTCCTTCCGAGAGTTGCCATCATGCGCGATCTCCCCTGCTGGAATAGCCATAATTGGGTGGAAGACGCGCTTGGGTATCTCAGGCGCTGCTGCTGTTTTAGCATCGTCGGGGAGATAAAGTTGTCCGGTCTTCAGGACAACATGTGTTGGCTATTAGAGGAATGGCCCGAGATTGAGGACGCGGTAGAATTTGTCGGTGACGCGAATCTCGCGTGCGTCCAGAATAACCGACGACTTTGGGACTCGCACCAAAACTTCTGGAGGCTGCACGAAACTTGGCGTTTGAAGTGCGCAGAGGCGGTCAAAGATGACAATGAGGAGTGCGACTCTGAAAGTGGTTAAAAGAATCTGTTTGATTTATCAAACTCCATGGAATCTGGACCTATGTTTGTGGGCTGCAATTGTGATTTTGTACCATCATCAACGTCATGTACCCAATGTTAGAAGTAGTGTGGTAACCTTTGAGCACTGAGCTTGTACAAAGCTGACTTGCACCGTGATGTCCAGATGGCTCTGTAGAGGGCACAACATGTACAGCTGACATGCTGTTCATGCACTGATGAACCACCTTTGATTCCGCTTTGATTCCGCTAAGCGCTCGCGAGACTCGTTACATAAACAAAACTTTGGCCCGGGAAAACACGCCGTTCCGGAAGGCGCCTCGCTGTGTTCAATTTTCAAACGTTCATCGTTCATGTCATTCCCGCATTTTCGAGTATTTGTTCTCAATATTTTCATACGTTCATAAATTTACTGATGGGTTAATGCATTGAATGCCATGTGCTTTACATTGGATTCGCTCTAAACTTATCGTATCTCGTTGTTCATCATGCTAATATAATCATGCTAGCCCAGGTCCCAATGATTCAAGCATGATGCGATGGACAGGTAAGGTGAGATATATTTGACCCAGTCAAGGTTTCTTGTTCCATAATAGTAATCGGAGGGCAGTTATGCCTCGGGCTCAGCCAGCAAAGCCGAAGAGTGTGCACTGCTTGTTTCACTCACATCAATTTCACGCTCTGACCTGTGCTAGATCGACAACTACAGGGAACTCCTCAATTTTTGCAAGTTTGCGGCAAAGACCTCAAAATCACCTTGGAAAATTTTGTCGACATCACCAACGATGGTGTTCAAGTAGTCGCGTGCGTATTAAACACTGGTTTGGAAATCAAAATCTAATTTGACACTTGTCACTTGATTTTGCAGCATTTCACCCAATCAAGGCAGGATCATTTATCCATATCCATCATTCAGAGTTTGGCGACAGAAACGCTGGGCGGTGGTATATCTAGCACAAACACAATCGTTATACCATAAACATTCCCTATCCGCTTACACTCATCTGTCTGATATGACCAAAATCTTGAACGGCCCCAGTTCGTGGCCGATGATTGATGAGAATATCTTTTATAGCTATTGGATAGGTTCGTCGCATCAAGATATCTAGATCTAACATCAACTTTCCGTTTCGCAGTTGCCGCTGGCGTCGTGGTGGTATACGATTGGGGTGAGCGGGTCAGCATTAGAAAACCTCTGATATTCTCATGGTATTTCTAGTATTAACACTCGGCCAAGAGGTATGTCGATATCATTGTCGGAGCGGCCAACTTGCTAAGAATGGCGTCATAGATTGAACTCATCTGGGTGAGTGACCTGTATCAGAAGAAAAGCAAGAGATACAATGAATTCACGACAGAAGCCACGCTGGTCTCTCATGACTGTGTTGTATTTGGTCGTTCGTACCTCATGTTGTGTTGTAGCGTGGTCGGCGCTTGTGCTTACTCCCCAATGTTCTAGATACGTTGTATTGGAATACCATACTCTGTGTATGTGTCAATGCAGATAAATTAGTACCATGCTAATAGCTGATCTCTGACAATTAGTGCTTATGCTCTGCGTATGTTGCATATGGACTGTGTTCAATTTTTCTGACCAGCAGCATACAGCAAGTATGCCATTGGTCTCGCTGACAGATGCAGTGAGTATTCCACAATCATCTCATTCCTATCCAATGAATACAATTATTGTAGGGGTGAGTGAGATTCTGATGATTGAATTGGCTCAACGTAATGGCGCAATAGGTGTGAGTCGAAGCTTTTGATACTAGTACGAGTGTGTTCACTAATTGGGTTTTGCAGGCAATATCACGTACTACGTACAGAACGGGATCAATGTGGTTGTATATGTCATGCTGGACGGTGAGTTACACAGTTGCAATGCCTCAGCGGTATTGACTAGAATGAAACATGATGCAAGTCATCATGATTTCTCGGTTGCATGCCATGTATCAGGGATCTCGAATGATGCTCATCTTCCTTGTTATCGTATTTTTGGCTGTCAACATCGCATGCGCAGTAATTGGGGCACTAGGACTCAAAGATACTGTAGGGGGTAAGCTTTACTCGTTGACTCAAAGAACACGGCTCATTGGGTAAATACCAGAGGAGCTGTTACTCTCTGGTACATATATATGCGATTATAGATACGAAGGGGCCAACGAGCTTCTGTTCTCAATGTTTTGGACGCTCGACATTGTTTGGGAGGTCCTCGCACTGTGTATTTCAGCCTGGATTTCCGTGAAACACTTCCGTGACCTGCGCCGACTTGGTCCATCCACACGATCGAGCATCAGAGACTGTTTTAAAGCGCTGATGAAATCTCACGTGCATTATTTTGCAAGGTGAGATTGTCATGTGAATGTAGTC